GGTCAAACTATTCTTTATTATATATTTTATATCTAATAATTTCTTAACTAAATCTACATGGTTCTTGATATTTTGAACCCTGCTTTGAATATTTCATACATTGATACACAGTGTTTGTGATTTGTTTGACTATTCAAGAAGAGAAATTCATGTTCTACTGTTGACCAGTCACTTAATTGAGGTCCATGTTAATAATTTTAAGTGTTACGGCCTGTTGTTGAAATACATGTACTAAGTATTTGAAACATGTGCAAAGTAATTCATCATGATCAACCTTTTGTCAACACTAAATATTGATGCTTCAACATGATTAAAATACCCTTGATGTTCCCTAAGATTTTTCTGCTCTGCAGTATGCAGTATACTATATACTGTTTAAGATGATGAATTCCAAAGAACAGCAAAGTTTTAAAAAAAAAAAACAACAGAAAAGTCCATTATGAACAGTTATGACTAATTCCCCTTTAAAAGTTTCTTCTATTATATACTACTACATGTACTGAAAGCACTTACAGGAAAATGCAATGAAAAATCTATTTTATCCTCCCCCCCCCCCCCCTAGCTTTGCTTATGTCATTCATGTCAAACTAGAGTAAACTTTATTTAACAAAAATTAATTTGACCACATTGTGTTAAAACCCTAAGAGTTCAGGCTACAACAACCCCCCCCCCCCCTTCTTGTTTTTAATTTATGCCCTGCAGGGGCTGGCATATAGCGTGTGACATGTTTGTCTTTTGTCCTTCCTTCCGTCACACTTGAGTTTAGCTCAGTTCAAAGCTCAGTTTCAAAGAAACTATCCAAGATATTTTTTTACCAAACTTCCTATGCTGATACATACAGATTTATCATGTAAGCAATTCAACTGCATCAACATATTTGACCTTGTCCTTTCATTTGACCTTGACCTCGCTTCCATCAAATTGTGTTTCAATCTGTTTTAAAGAAACCATTCATAATATTTTCTGCAACTTCATATGCTGATACATACTGATGAGAGCTTTTCAACTGCATCAACATTTTTTGACCTTGGCTTTTCCTTTGACCTCACTTTTCTGAAATTAGTGTCAAACTTGATTATGCTGATACATACTGATGTAAACGATTCAACTGCATCACTATTCAAGATATTCTGATAAAATTTCACACACTACTGTGGAATCATTATTGTTCGTGGGGGACCAATGTTCGTGGCTTTCGTGGGTAACTCTGACCCACGAATTTACATCCACACGAACGTATATTACAAACATTTGTTTTAGTATTTGTTGAAATTTATTGATATCGTAAAATAACCGTTACCCCTGTTTCCGTTTGACCGCACATGAAGAGGACAATCTGCATGTGGTTAATTATTGACACAAAACGAAAATAAAACAAAAACAAAACAAAAAGATATTAAGTATCAATGACATCCATAGCTTTAAACAATAAGTAATAAAATGATAAATACAACTGTTAAATTTAAGTACTGTTTACATTATAGTCCAACACGCTCAAATGTCCCTTTGATGAGGTCAATTTTTAGTGCGATTTTGGAGTGGGTGCTAATTATCCAATTAGCATGAACTGGTTTCAGAGTAAACGTTTTAAGTCAAATTTTGCATTGTTGTCATAGTTCTCAATTAGAGATTAAAAAACAACATGTACCACTGGTGTTTTTTATAATCATAATTTACTGCGACATCACGGCTGTAATTGTCGGTGCAAGCTGCTGGTACATTTTTGTGTTCACAAGAGAGATAACTTAAATAAGAAACATGACGGGGTTATCCTTCTTTGTTTTAACTTTGGGGGAAAAAATTATATAGAACTTGTTACCAACGAAATTACATCCCCACGAACCAGGAAATTTTTGGCTACCCACGAACATTGACCCCCATGAATAAAAATGATTCCACAGTAATTAAAATTTTCATGTTGCATTACTAATATAACCTCGACAGGGTATTCATGCCCTATGAACATATTTCTAGTTTTTTGGTTGTGTTTTTTTTTTTTAAATAAAGTAAATTAAAAAATATAATTTGTCCCCTTTGCACAATCTTCATTTTCTTTTTAGGAAGGAGATTTCTTTTAAGTGTATGAATAATGCTTCAACTCCTGACAAATAATCCTTAACATGCTTAAGACAATACCTGGTAATAAATAAAATCAGATGTTCTCCCAAATCCCCCATTTTAACTTGGAAAATCCTAAAAATCAAAAATAAAATTTTAGTGGCTACTTATTCTTGAAAGTCCCACTTCCTAATAGCTTAAAAATACAAGACTTCTTTTAATATTAAAAAAAAAGCATGATATTCTGTTCTTGGAATATTTATTCATTTAAAATTTAGTTTATACAGACATGATGCTAAAAAAATGCTAAAAAATTAATACAAAGAGTCCAGGCAAGTTTAAGTTTTACCCATGATTTGGGCATTTACATGAATTAACTCTCCATATCATATTTTAAAAAATACATAACACACATAGTCCTCCATTCAATTCCTTCACATTCACTTCTGGGGATAGATGTTTTTTAGACAGCTATGTGGCAATTAATATGGAACATGGTAAAACAATTATATTTAAAACTTAAATTATTGTTCGAAACAAGACACATGTAGATTTCCTCCAGTGGCTTCTTTAGAGCAACAGGGTGTTATCTTCAACTACCTTTTGCTGTAAAAAAAAAAACAAACAAACAAATTTATGTATTAATCCTACATGTACATCCTATCTTCTGTGAAGGCTGCATAACCATTATATATGTATGCAATTCCCACTATGCTAGTCAATGTAAATAATTAGCATGAATCAGTTAGACTGACAGTAGAACAATGCAGATGAACAAGCTTCATAATATATACATGTAGGAGTTCTGGATTTTAAAGTTGAAGTGGGGTGGTTCAATTCTCAAAGACAAACATTACTTAATTCCTTCGTCATAATTTACATATGTATATTTTGACTCTTTTATAGCAAATAATATGAATTAATGAGGTCTGTTTTCCTGAAGATAGGGGGTGGGGTAGTAAGATAATTTATTGACTACTTTATCTTAAAATTTTATAAATTTTGGAATTGTACAATGTAATCCCAGTTTTTTTTAATTCATTAATTTTAATCAAACTTTTATGTACATTAACATTCATGAGCAGACAAATTGATCTATGAACTACCTAAACATTATCAATCTTGCTTCCTTTCATATAAAATTTACAGATTCCAATTTGGTTTTTTTTTTGGGGGGGGGGTGGGGGTGGGGGTGGTGTAGAATAACTTTTCTTTGTGTCATTAAGTAATATATTTCATCTAAAATATAAAGGTAAATATATAAGTTTGATGCTATTTTTCCACATTGAATTGGTATATGTACCATTCCCTACTCATTTGGCAAATTAGTCTAGATAAGTATATTTGTCAGTTTGATCCATTGATGTTATGAAAGACTATATATAATTAAAACTAAGATTTGGACATAGTTTAGGTTTTGAAACTCTGATTTATAAATGGGGGAGAAGGTGGGTTAAAATGATGTATGTGTGTATATATTAGGGACTTTAGTCTTTCCAGCAGTGTGACCTCATGACCTTTTAACAGTTTAATACACAAATAGCATAGGCATAAAATTATTTTAAATTTCATTATTAGCATTTATCTATCTTTAATTGTATTAGGAGTAATTTAACAACTACAGAATAAAACATCTGTGGTCATATAACAGGTTGCTCTTAATTACCTGTAAGGCAGTAACTTCTTTGCATCACTCAATATTTCATTTGTATCACTCATAGGATAGAAAAATTAATCTTGAGGTACCTTCCTAATCTTTACTCTTGCTTTAAATATATAAAGTTATCAAAGTTTACCTAAAAATTTACATGAAAAATATATATTTAACATACCATTATATGTTTTTGTCCAAGTACTCCAAGTTGGAAGTTTTCCATTTTCCCCCCGCATTTCCTCAATTGTTGTCTGTTCCATTCTTTCCGGTCTTCTTTACTAGAGAGCTCATGCAAGGGAGGCAATCCAATTGTTTTTCAACAGAGTTTTCCATCAATTCAATCTGATATTTTACTTTGAGTTTTAAGAGTCTACCCAATTTTATTTATTTAATATATTGAACAGAACATTCTCCTTCTACAGATATATATAGAAATTTTCAAAGCTGCACAGCATTTGCAAACCACTTAGCTCTTTATGGGATATAATACCACCGGTAAAATCTTAATAAAATTAAGCACAAATTAAATTTTACTTATAAAATAGAGAAATATAGTTCAAAGCACTTTATGACCCACGTTATAAAATTATACCTAGAGTTTTGAGGTCAAATATATGAATTATAACAGGATAGGCCAGTTCACATATTTCTCTGATAAAGTATGACAAAATACTTTGGTTGCCATGGAAACAAGAGGTCATATACCCGGGTAGATGTATTTTTTTGAAAGACTAATCATATGCATCATGTTCACAAAATTTGAGCAAGAAATAAATTTTTCCACTTTCCATGATTATATAGGGTGAAGCTCAATGCTTATTGGCATGGCCTCTTAAATACCCAGGAGCAGAGAAGAAGATTATCAAAGAAATAATGCATTTTCTTTATATAGTCAATAGAGCCCCACCCTAGAACCCCTGACCCTAGGGCCATGAATTTCACAATTTTGGTAGAGGACTGAATGCTCATTACATTCAAGTTAATAGTTTGACTGCTTGATGTCCAGGAGTAAAGAAGAAAATTTTTAAAGTTTGCAATAAGTTTAGTGGTTTTGTTCCCACCCATCAGGCCCCAGAGAGGCGGGGACCATGAAATTCACAATTTTTGTTTCCCTTTACCTATAGATGCTGTATGCCAAATTTGGTTGAAATTGGTTCGGTGGTTTGAGAGAAGAAGCTTAAAATGTTCAAATGTTAACACACGACACACGACACACGACGGACGACGACGGACGAAAACGGATAGCAATAGGTCACCTGAGTTTCTCAGGTGACCTAAAAAAGCTCACCTAGCATACGCAAAGGAATGTCTTCTTCGTGGACTTCTGTAATTGATGAAATGGAAATATAGTTAAAACTCTAAATACATTCATTGATTTTTTTTTATTTGATGATACAAAATTCAAAACGATTCAATCTACGTCAACAGGATAAAGAAGTATTCAAAAAATATTACATTTTTATATTAAAATTCTGTAGACATTTACTTCATCTGTATATGCTGATTACTACAATATCTGCAATTGACCTTACTTTTAATGGTGACATCAAAATATCATATTGACAATCAAAAGTGTATATTTAAACTGATAAATTGAGGAATAAATATTGAATATGATTGCAGGTACAAGATGATTTTTTCAATTTTATATTGTTTTTGTTTTTAAACAATCTTGGATATACGTAGCTACTATCCCTATTATTTTGAAAAGTTCTAGGAACAAGTGGTGTGCTGTTTCTTTTATCCGTGATTTGGCATATTTTTAATACGTATAATTGAGATAGACAAATTTTATTGAAAGAAGTTAATTTTACATATTTCCCTGGAATGGAGCTCGTAGTACTTTCCGGGTTAAAGAATCTGTATTAAAGAAATACAATTCAACTTTTATGATCATTTTAGCCGTACATATATTTTCAAATTTTAAACATGTCAGGTGACAAACAGCTGATGTAAGAAAAGTTGCTTTGGCCAAACTCGCAGAGAAATCATACATACAAGCATAATGCAATTGTAGAATTCCCACTAAATTAACTTAAGCCAATAAAATAATATTAACATTATATTGATTTCATATCATATTTTAAGGCGTAATTCCTACAACCTAGCCGAGAATTTTGATTATTAACAATTTATAGATATTCTTTAATGTGGCGTTACTGTAGATCTTTATCTCACTGGTCTAAAGGAACTGGATTAGAGTGAAGGATTTTTTCAGTAATTTTTCGGAGAACTTCAGTTTTATAAGCATACTTTAAAGGAAGGGTAAACTTGTTGAGTCAAAGCAAAAAAACTAGTACAATATAGATTCAAACTTTGCACAGGGGGGAGACCGGTCAACTTGGGATGCATATCTCTCCGAGGCACCAGATCGCATCTCAAGAATTTTAAGGGGCCCATGTTTTAAGTCATAGTATCATACCAGTAATTGTATTGTTTATTTAGTTCATATTATGATATCAATCACTGTTCGTTACATTGTATCTTAACCTATTACATTTAAATACTGAAGTCCATTATTGGAATTCTGCATTTTTGAGTTTCTGAGTTCTTTCATTTGATATTTTGTGCTACATCTTACATGTAATAGGAATTTATCATACACTTTTTAAATGCTAATGGTATATGATTAAGCTTTGTGTGTTTATATACAATATGTGTTAACTTGTTTCATGTATTTTATCTTTAATCGTAAAAATTAAATCGTTCTCTCTTTAGGTTACATTAATAAACTATAAATATAGAAATGGTCTATTTTTTATATTACTTCTTTTAAGATATTTTAATATTGCATAGTTTTAGGTAGATTAAATGAAAATTCTTTTATTAAATAAAACGTGATTTTATCTAATTTTTCTTTATTTCATATTACATGTACATAAAGTAGTTCTACACTCGGCACTAAATGGGCTATATCTTTAAAAATCTGCTTTTATAAGATAGTCATACATATCTGTAAAAAATAGACATAAGGAAGATTGTATGTCAGCATGTTTACTTTTCCGCTATTGCCTTTTGGAGTATAAGTATACCCCAAAATGTAAAATACTGAAATTTATCTATCCTACATTTTGTTGAATATAAATGAATTAAAGTCTTGATATACAGCTTGAATACACAAAATAACGCAGACACCTGAAAATTAACCATATATTATCAATACTTTGAGTGATTTATTATAAATATTAGCCCTTTGTTCGGCTTACGTATCAAAATTTCGCATGAGAAAATATGCTTCACATGTCAATCTCGGTCATTTAAAAAGAATAATATAATTATAGGATCAATCTTTAGATACTTGCTTTTTTGTTTTTTTATGACTAAAAACATTTAAGAAAAAGCATGAGCTTAAAACATTATATGTTTACTCATTACTTTTCATGGTATGAGCTCTACACTAAGGGGACCCCCATTTTTTTTTTCTCCCAGAAGTAATATATTACAACATTTTCCAGTGATACTGTTAAAGATTAAGTATTTGCTTGTTTTAACAAGGTTGTACATATTATTTAAAACAATAATAATACACACAAAATAGCTATTTCTTCCCAAAAAATTATCTTTACTTTAAAAAACATAAAATAAATGTACACCTTTATGTAAATTAGAGGCAATGAATCTGAACGTGATTTGCCGATTCTCTTAAACTGTATGATATTGTTACAGAAAGTAAGTATGCTGCAAGTGAATCTGACGTTTTATATACATGTACAGCATTTAAAAAAAGAAAATGTATTGTGATTGATGGGTAAGCAGGTAGAAGGTAAAAGGATATATAAGTCTTAGGTAATAATAATTTAACCATGTAATTTTTTTTAATCATTTAATTTGTCTTAGCAAGACGGTAACAATTACTTTTCTAGAGAATTATCACAATTTGCTTCAACTTGTCGCCTCGTTTCGACTTTGATACACGTAGCATATCTGTAGTTGTATATCCGTGGTCCGCGCAAACGTCATACGCAGGTATGTTAAGGTTAAAACCAAATATTCTGCTTGCCCATATGATATGACGTCATGATAAGCTATATGACGTGAAGTTTAGAGATAACAATTTCTTAAAATCGATATATAAGATTGTTTAAAGGTCGTAAAATTGAATTAAAATATGCGGAGGCATAATATAAACGGAATTTTGTCCTTTCTCGGTCTCTGTATTCATCACAGGGGTTAAATACCAAACCCATGACGTCATAACTGTTGGATATACAGTAGCAGAGTGAAAGTGAAAGGTAACGAGAATTCATGTAAACAAACACAACAAATCGGAATTTAAAAGCATTTAGTATGAATATTAAGTGTGGTTCACGTGGGAATAAAGCTTATGAATTAGATATGATATCAGACTATAATTTCTCCGTAAAATAAAAGCAGACAGGGTGATTACTTGCCGATCAGCCTTTTTTTCTGTCGTTTGAAACAAAAAAAAATGCAAAAGTTCAACACTACGCCGCATACTTTAAAACGTACATGTAGTTTTTGTTTCTATCTATATTTCTTATTTTTATTATTATTTTTTTTTTTTGGAAAGTGCTGTTAGAAACGTACGCTTTACGGGCATTGATGCATTTCTTTCGATGTTATGAACAAAATGTCATATTTGAAAAATCTTCTTCTCAAGAACAAGTGGGAAAATTTTTGATAAATGCCATTAATTATGAGAAAAAATACCAGAAAGCATCTTATGTGGTGAAATTTATTAAAAATAGTAACTATTTGATAGATGGTTGCATGACAAGCAATCGTTTTCTTACTGACAGATACGGCTACATATATATGGATAAGCTTCTTGCTTATTTGTTACACAAGATAGGAACAATATACCAAATTCTTTTCATTATATGAGATTAAGGGACAACTTTTGTAGTGGAAGTCATTATGAAAATTTACGGTTTTAAGTTATGAGGCAAAAACCTTTAAGGGCTAAAAATTCCTAATTAAAGAAATCAGTTTCTTTTTGTGGATTTTAAAGAAATATAAATGAAATTAAATGCCTGCACAATTCTTTTTCTTCATCTTTTAACGTAATATTTTAAATTTACATACTTCAAAGTTTTCCATTTAGGCAAGTTCAAGGTCACTTATTCAAAAGTTAAAAAATCAAAATTGTCGTCAATTTTGTAATGGAAATACATGGTATGTATTTGCATTTTATTGAAAGATGTATCATGCTGTCTGGAATGTCATTTAGCTCTACTCTAGTTCTTAGTGACTTCTTTTAATGTGATGCTCGGTTTTATTTCTGTATAAAATATATTGAAGCATTTTACCAACCTTTTTTATTCTTTTTCTGAATGTTTGTATATCTCATAATAATGAAAACAAGTATTCCAATGGAAAAAAAAAATATCCCCGTCACTGCAACTAATCTAAAAAAAAAACAATATATCAATTTGTTTGGTACGTGCATTGCAGATTGAAATACCTGGAAAAGATATCATATATGTTAAAGGTACTTGGACACAGATTTGAAGTTATTATTTTCTCTATAATATTACGACTAATATATTTTAATAGCATTTCACACAAAAATTAATTAAAAATCTCATCTCATATAAAAGATCAAAAGATATTAAAATTTCAAATTTTTTGGCGGGTTTCATTGACACATCCTTGCAGTTTAAATATCTTTTAAATGAAGTAAGATTTTTAATTATTTTTTTTTATTTTTTGTGGAATGCTATTAAGATTTATAAGTCGTAACATCATAGAGAAAATATTGACTTCAAATCTGTGTCCAAGAACCTTTAAGTTGATCTTACATATACACACTGGTATGCAGTTTCGAGACATCCCCGGGTACAGTAGTTACTGTTTTAAAAGTTGTCAGGGTTGTCGATGTAAGAATGGTTGACTGGCAAGGCTCATCTAAAAATGTAATACACTGAACATCATTGATCAGTAATAAAATTTTAGTTCTAAAAATAAGAGCATTGAAATTGAATCATTATTACTCACATAAGTGTGCTTCTGATGATAAAAATCTGTGAGGACATGTAGAAGACTGGCTACAATTTATACTTTCATTTATTTGAAGTTCCGTGTTGTTATAAAACACACATACGCCTGTAATAGAAATGAAACTAGTATTTATTGTAACAGGGACCGTTACAGATGTTCCCAAACGCACCCCAAATCCCTTTTTATGCCTATTTCCTGTAAGACATTTTTAAAAATGTGATAAGTATCGAAGGATTTCATCAAAGCATTATTAAAGCTACAATGATATCAACTATTTGTCATTTAACGCATTGAATGCGCAAGGACCTGCATGCACATGCAAGATGATCATGGTATGTCTATAACATTAACATATCTATGCATATCTATATATTGTGTGAATCAATCAAAAAAAAACTCTTTTAAAAATACATATTACTGTTTTTCAAAAAAATACATGTCATTTTTCGTATTTTGATAATACCATAATGTAGGAATCCATTATTCATATTCTAAATTTGATCCCGTTTTGTTGAAAACTAAGAAAGTTTAGACATTTAAAGTTTCAGCCAATCAGATTGCAGCACATGTGCATGCACATGCTTTTCATAATAATTCTTATATACCTTACTGTACACATTTATAATGTATAACCATGTTCAAAATTTCAAAGGATTTTGTCGAAAAACAAGAAAGATATTGAGACTTTGGTTTCAGCCAGTCAGAGCAAAGCACACGTGCATGCGCGTGAGATCTTGCTATTTTGACCATGTCCTATTGTCTATGCTTCTAATATATCCTTATATTATGAGTTTCAAAGCATTTCATCAAAAATTTAATTCGTTATGTCAATATCAAGTGTATTGGATATTTCTGGTGCTGCACGTGCGCGCTCTTGCAAACACACGTGCATGCACATGGCTCTATAATAATATTTATGTATCAGGCTAAAGATCTCCCTAATGTTTGACTATGTTCAAAATTACAAAGGATTTTATAAAAAAAAAAACAAAAAAGATATTGAGACGGTAGTTTCAGACAATCAGAGCGAAGCGCACTTGCATGCGCATGAGATCTTGCTATTTAGACCATGTCATCGCGTCTTTACTACGAATATATATATTTATATTTTGAGTTTCAAAGCATATAATCAAAAATTAGGAAAGTTACAGCTATATCTATTATACTGGATTTTTCTGGTGTTGCACGTGTGCGCTCTTGCAAGCATGTGAAGGCTGATGACCAGATGACCTTCGTTCCGCAAACCTACATAACATTCCTAATGACCCTATAAAGGTTTCACCTTAGTCGGATGTGTAGTTTACAAGATCACTCGCGGAAACGATTTTCCCAGGGAAAAAAATAAAAATAACTAGAGCAAAGCTCGTTTAGGAGCAACGAGTAGGTCTTCCGTCGTGTTATACCAGAATTATTTTTTTTTTAAAATAAAAATGCGTAAATACATCCAAAAATGATTGATATCCTCCAAATCCATGTTAACTTATGCAAAAATTAGCCATTTTTTGCTACTTCCGGTTTAACCTGAAGTGACGACCTTGGACAGAAAATTGAATTTTATGCTCCCAATGACAGCTGTTATCCAAAAAATTGTCAAGAACGGCAAAAATATGTATTTACGACTACTTCCGGTTTGGCCGGAAGTGACGACACTGGACGTATTTTGACAACTTCAGTAGATTTAACTTGACATTTTGAACAACTCTGCTTCTGAGGCGTATCACATATTCTCAATACTTTTTAAGACAAAAAGGAAAAACCTTCTGCCCCTGTAGGTCTTCATTTTAGAGGCCAGCCCTTTTTTGGAGATATCACTCGAAAGACCGTGTAATTCTACACTTCTTTTGTTCTTCATGCCTTAACAAAATATTCCTAGGTAAAAAGTTATAGTAGAAAAGGTGTTAAAAATTTTGAAATTCATGAAAGGACTATTTTCGGGCCATAGCGACGCAGGTAGGTTAAGGTTACAACCAAATATTCTACTTGCCTATATGTTATGACGTCATAGTAAGCTATTTGACGTGAGGTTTAGATATAATAATTTCTTAAAATCGATATCTCAGATTGATTTGAGGTCGTAAAAATGAATCAAAATATGCAGACGCATAATATAAACGGAATTTTGTCGTTCCTGGACCTCTGTAGTTATCACAGGGGATACATACCAAACCCGTGACGTCATAACTGTTGATCATGCAGTAGCAGAATGAAAGTGAAATGTAACGAGAATTGATATAAACAAACACAAGAAATCGGAGTTTAAAAGCAATTAGAATGAATATCATGTGTGATTCTTGTGGGAATAAAGCGTATGAATAAGGTATGGTAAGATAATTTTGCAATTTCTTCGTAAAATTATAGCAGGGAGGGTGTTTACTTGCCGATCAGCCTTTCCTCTGTCGTTCGTAACAAAAAAGATGCAAAAGTTCAACACTACGCCGCATACCTTGAAACTTAATTTTTGTTTCTTTCTAAAGTTCTTATTCTTTTCTTTTTGGAAAGTGCTGCTAGAATCGTATGGTTTACGGGAATTGATGCTTTTTTTAATGTTATGAACAAAATGTAAAAAATTTGGGGAAGGTTTCGTCCGAAATTGTTGAATAATTATTTCTTCAATAGGACAGTACGATTCTAGCAGCACTTTTCATGGTACAGAGATGTTTTTACATAATAATTATTACAAATTGAAACTAATTATCCCCGGGGTAGTGTTAAACTTTTCACTTTTTCATTAAGGCATATTTTATATATTATGCATATTATATTTATAGACGTCACGTGGTGACGTTGTGGTGAAGTGCTTCCTGTAGTATAAGTCTCATTGAAGTCTATAGAATGCATAATTATACCAAAAGTTTTATCCTTAACTTTTCCGATTAATAAGTGTTACATAATTATAAAAAAGTGTTAATTCGCCGAATTCTGATTCATGTGCTGCTTTAACATACCCGCGGAGCGTCGGTGCTTCGTACTTCCGGTAGTTTTGATATGCAAAAGGAACTTCTACAAAGGTTGCTCTAGCATCCCTGAAAATTTCAAATTTCTATCTTCAATAGTTTTGGAAAACATTGCCAGACAAAGTGACCCTTTAAAAATGACAAAATCGCAAAAATCTCCGAACCGGAAGTGACGTCATCAAGAAAAATATATTCCTAGATTTTTGATGTTCTAACAGTCCTGAAAGTGTCATGAAAATCGATGAAACCGTTTTCGTGAACTCGCGTGCACAAAATATGTAGGAAAAACAAATTTAAAAAAAATGTGGAAAAGAAACCTCAGAATAACAGAAAGGTCTACCGCTGTAGACGGAAGACCTTAATTATAACTGGTGTTAATTGTAACGGGGACCGTTACAGATGTTCCCCAAACAATCCCCAACTCCCTTTTTGTGCCTAATTCCTATAAGACTTTTTAAAATATGATCAGTATTGACAGATTTCATCAAAGAAATATAAAAGCTACAATGACTACTATATGTCATTTGATGCATTGTAGCTCAAGCACGTGCATGCACATCAAGATGATCATGGCATGTTGTCTAAACCATTAACATATCTAAATTATGTAAGAAAAATATACATGCTACTGTTTCTTAAGTATATTGGTCATTTTGCGTATTTTGCAAGTGCATGCATGCATGTTCGTGCATTCAATTTTGATAGTACCGTAATGTAGGAATCAAATATACCTAATCATACTCTAAATTTCATCCCTTTTTTTTTAAACTATGAAAGTTAAAGGCATTCCAAGTTTCAGCCAATCAGATTGCAGCACACATGCATGCGCATGCTTTCATGCTAATTCAGAAATATCATGCTGTATATCTTCATAGTGTATAAGCATGTTGAAAATTTCAAAGAATTCTGTCGAAAAACAAGAAAGATATTGAGACTTTGGTTTCAGCGAATCAGAGAGAAGCGCACGTGCATGCGCATAAGATCTTGCTATTTTGACCATGCCCTCTAGTCTATGCTTCTAATATATCTTTATATTATGAGTTTCAAAGCATTTCATAAAAAAATGAAAGAGTTACGTCAATATCAATTTTATTGAACATTTCTCGTATTGCACGTGCGTGGAAGCACACGTGCATGCGCATGTTTTCATGATAATTCCTATTTATCTGGGTGTAGATCTCCCTAATGTATGACTAAGTTCAAAATTTCAAAGTATTCTGTCGAAAAACAAGAAAGATATGGAGACTTTAGTTTCAGCCAATCAGAGCGAAGTGCACGTGCATGCACGTGAGATCTTGCAATTTTGACCAAGTCATTTTGTCTATACTACTTATATATCCTTATACTATGACTTTCAAAACATTTCATCAAAAAATAGAAAATTTACGGCTATATCCATTATATTATCATTTCACGTGTTGCACGTGCGTGCAAAATGACCTTCGTTCCGCAAATCTACATAACATGCCTAGTGACCCTAAAAAGGCTTAACCTTGATCAAATGTGTAGTTTACAAGATCACTCGCGGAAAAGAATTTCCCAGAATGAAGAAAAATAATAACTTGACCTTTTTTTGTCGTTCAACAAAAACGGAGGGCTTTTCGACCCCTAAAAATTCAAAAGGTTCATTTTGTTTTAAGTTCTTATGATATCAATAATGAAACATAAAAAGTCACTATATTCATCAACGGCTACTCAAAGAGACATAACTTTTTTTATGATTAATCAAAATATGCGACAAACGACTGTTTTTCAATTCACTAAAACTCCTATAAGGGGTAAAAAAGACCACATAATTCTTAAAGAGTATATAATTCTTAAATTGCCCTTCAACTCAAAACCGAAATCACTTGAAGATTAATGGGTAAATAAAAAAGTTTGAGGCTTAAAACGATCTTCTGTCCTGACCCCTAAAAACCCTTCTATTTAAAAAAAAAATTTTTTTCATTGCTTAACCATCATAAAACAATGCTAGAGTCGTTATTCATTGGAAATATCACAAGAATTGCTTGCTTCCCTTTTGAGATAATGGACATTGAATGACTTCTAATTCAAAATAAAAATCTCCATAGGCAAATTTTAAGGTATAAAATCGGAAGCACACTTCATATGCATACCAAAGTTGAAACATAGAGAGCATATAATACCCCAAGCAGATGGACAAAGGGAGATAACTTTTACGCAATTATTTTTAAAATTACTTAAAAATACATATTTTCAGTTCTCTTAAACTCCTATAAGGGGTTAAAAAGTGACCCCACGGTCCATAATTTTTAAATTGCTCTTCTTATGCTTCACTCAAAATTTGAAATCAGTTTGTAGATTGGTTGACAAATTACCGGCAAAAAACTGTTTTTCTGTACTGTCCCCTTCTGACATGCATGATTTGTTTGTACTATAGAAACTACCTAAGACAATTTTAAAAGACATATAGAACCGGAAGTACTGCTCTTATGGACATGAAACTTACATCACTAAACAATATGTAATCTTCAAAATAAATTTCCTACATTGTTTTTAAATTTTAAACTTCCATCCCCCCTTTTCCAAATTTTTGATCCGTAAAGCACAAAAATGTACCATAGGTGCAAGAACCCTAACGATAGTTTTTTTGTAGATATTACTTTGAAGTATCTATTCCTAAGTTTGGAACCAAATTGCATGTAAAATAAGGAATGTTTTAGGCTTTTGATAAAATTTAAGGTTTTGACTTATAAATACCGGAAGTGACGTTTCCGGAAGTAGAAAAACCTTACTTACGGGAGACTTTTAGTTATGCTGTATAATGGAATTGTTATAAATTACATATCTCTAACGATTTTCTTTAAACCACTGACCAAAAAGTGTTAGGTATAATAATAATAAAACAAGACGAAAACAATAGGGCTTTTCGCCTGAAAGCGAAAAACCCTAATAAGAAGAAGAAGAAACAGAGGAAAAGCAATATGTTCCCCAACTTCGTTTGGGGGATATAATAACTTTTGAGCTGGAAAAAAGACATGACATTTTTTGTTTTAAAATTAACTATTCAACTAAAATTTTGCTTGCTTTTTTGTTTCTTTGTTGTTTAACGTCCCTCTCGCGAATTTGTCACTCATTCGGAGATGCAACCACTTGCCAGTGGAGAGCTGCTAATTTTTGTACGGTCTCATCCAACGGACCGGTCTCTACGACCCATAGTGGGATTTGAACACGCAACGTATAATTAACTCCTATATATATGTCTAATATATGTTGCTATATCTGTACAATTTTATAGTGAGACTTTTTACATCCTTTTTGTGTTCCTGTGACTATAAATATGCATACATACATATATATATATATATATATATATATATATATATATATATATATATATATATATATATATATATAATAGCACTAAAAAACCAACAACACTGTATATCCTAAATGTCGGATCTATCAAGTAGATACAAGGTCACGGATGGAAATTTATATAAAGCACTAAAAATGACCAACGACACGAACAATAAAAATTGTCAAATTTTCGGGACGCCCTGTCCCTTCCTCAGGACAAAGAAAAAAGTTAAAAAGTCATAAGAACAAAGGAAAAATAGAAACAAAAACAACTAGCACTACTACTAAGCTACTAAACACTAGATATTTACATACTTAATAAATTTATTAAGTATGTAAATATCTAGTGTTTAGTAGCTTAGTAGTAGTGCTAGTTGTTTTTGTTTCTATTTTTCCTTTGTTCTTATGACTTTTTAACTTTTTTCTTTGTCCTGAGGAAGGGACAGGGCGTCCCGAAAATTTGACAATTTTTATTGTTCGTGTCGTTGGTCATTTTTAGTGCTTTATATACAGTCAAACTTGTCTTAGCGGCCACCCGAAATCAACGGCCACTCGTGATCAGCGGCCACTTTCAGTTCCCCCCGACGATTTTTACTATATATTTTAACTTGAATAAACGGCCACCTGCGTAACGCGGCCAGCGGCCACTCAAATTCCCTACCCAGACCCCTATTGACACTGTAATAGGCGGCCATTTCGTCACTTGCTGTGATTCTATTATGTCTTTTAAACTCATTCGCTTGGGTAATTATATCCCGATAGCCAATTTAACCTAGCTATTAATGCAATTAAACAAATTACTCTTAGATACACTGAACTCTGTTTGCATTTATGAAAAAAACCTGTTAGATCAATTTGTAATTATTTTTCAAGATCGCCGATTGAAAAAAAAAATTAAATACAATTGATACTTTCCTCTACCTAATGATATTCACACCTTTTGAATTTTGATTCCATGTAGAAGCCCTAATTGCTACTCTTGTGAAAACAAAGTGCTTCATGTGGCATGATTATCTCGTGAATTTCACTATCAACAGACGATCGATAGGGATTAGTCACGCTCTACTGCATATGACACCTGTGTTATGGAATGATTTTCAACTGCGTCAATACATCTCTCTGGTCAACTGGTTAATTTTATTTCTGTGTCTTATGTTACATAGAAATTCTGATAGCTTTATAAACGATAAAATTTACCAAACTTTAAAAACTTCAGCAACTAAGTTAATTGCCGATGAATTAAGGGGGGGGGTACACTGCTGACCATTTTTGAACATATGCAGGTGAAATTTTTATTGACATATTCTTAATGAGATTTCTATGCTTTATTTTATTTACCATTAAACTGTATTTTTGTGTATTTTTTTTTCTTTAGAAAAAAGGATAATAGTCAGGCACTGTATGTATTTCTTGTTTAAATAATATGTAGGAACAGAAACATGCACAAAACCTTAAAAAATTCTAATTCTTTAATAGTTTTTTGAATGAGCTTGAATTATTATATATACACATAAAGAGCCTTTGTTAAATTGACCTGTTTTATTATTTTATTAATTTAACTGTAGTGCTCAATGTTGTTTATTCATTGCCCGAATGTCTTTTTCGAGGGCAAACTGGAATAAGAGGCCACCTGTCTTAAGTGGCCAGTTTCCAGACTTCCCAAAGGTGGCCTCTTAAAACAAGTTTGACTATATATATATATATATATATATATATATATATATATATATATATATATATATATATATATATATATATATATATATATATTACCGATTGAGAATGATAGACAATTATGTTTGTGTGGTTACACGGAGCAATTATAAGTTATGATAATGGATGTTCTTTCTATTCATTTCACAAAATACATTTTCCTTCAGAAAGCGGTTGATTTTTTTTTAAATCTTAGATTACATTTTATTTTTTTCGAGGAATTTGGCTAAAATAAAGAAAATTTATAAAATTAAAAATTTTTTGGGGATACACGTCATCAAATTCAGCTAAATATTTTGTCATTCTTAAATTTAAACTTCTAAAAGAAAGAGTGGAATTTGTGACAAAAACGAAGTAAACGTAATGTTATGCTTTAAAGCACTTAATAGCCATTTGCCTACATTACTTTCTTATAAATTGGTTGCAGCATTACCAAAGTAACAAACATATTTTTGTATACATGTATTGAAGAGCTAACGCACTATACAAAAATCTTTTACATTTGTATTTTTCCTTCATTATCATCCGTACAGGACATGGGAAACCCTGAAAGATTTCGCAAAAAAAACTTTAGTTATGCACTTTACATACATGTAAGCAGGGCCTTGGTATTTTCTCAAAGATTTTTGACATTATTTGGCAACAAAGATTTATGTATCAGTAATTCTATTATACCTTTATGGATCCTCAACAGTGTTGTTTTTACAAAGATAACCATTATAAAGCTCTTGGACCTCTTGTTAGTCTAAAAATTGTTAATTTGTCTTCTTTTTCTTTGACAGGTTTAAACTTTACACTTGGTTTGTACTACAGTATATTTTTGTATGAGAGATGCGAGAATTTTTTTAGAGAAACCTTGGGGTGTATTCCAGCCCTTAGATTCTGTAAACCCTCATATCATGTACATGTACCACTTTTTAAATGAGTGAATCTTTGCTTTGAAATAATGACGTCTGAAAACGACAGACAAGTGATGATAACGTGACAAACAATCAAATGAGAGAAAGAAAGAGAAAGAGGGAATGAGATAGTAATAGAGCGAGAGAGAAATGTTTAAAAACGATAACAAAACATAAAACAAAGGATAAAAATCATGCTTTCAAAATTTGCCCTTGATGAGAAGTTTTTTTTGTTTTTTGAATTTGCTTGTTTGATTTTTATTGAATGCATTTCTTTGTGTTGACAATCGTTAATATAGAAAAAAAATGTAAATCTGTCTTCTATGTCACACACTGATCATTTAAATAAAATCGCTGATTGGGTTCCTTTAATTGTATGTTGTTTAAAACCTCAATCGAGAATTTCCACGTGTATGGATAGGTGACCGTATGTCAATAAAGTGCTCCAAATTAAGACCTGAAATCGGGACTCAGGGCCATTGGGCAGCGAGGATTTATTACTATGCCAATGCCTACTGTGACAAGAAACCTCGGTATTTAAGGTTTCATTCGAGATGCTAGTGACTTTCACTTGAAGAGTCACTACTTATATTAACATCTTGGTTCAGATGCAGTACGGTGAACGAGGTTCGAACCCTGGCCTCCAAATCACAAAGCGCCCTTCTACTAGGCCACTGTATGACTAGGTTTGATACAACCGTTTTATATATAAAAAAATATTTTCAGTCTTCAAAATGACTAGACGAATCCAAGCCTTTTTTAAAATTGAACAAATCCTGATATTAATTATAGATTACATGCTTACAACTTCCTTTTTCCTAAAATTATATAATTTATGAGGCTCAATGATTGTAGGTAGGTAAAATCATATTTCCCTCATTTTTTTAACAATTGTAATTTTAATATTTCAATCCCACTAATACAAGTTAGTTAAACCATGAAATATGACTTTGAAAAACATAAATCATGCTCATATTAAACGCCACTTCTACATAGTGGTATATTTTTCTCTAAACTAATTTATTGAATGCAATTTAAAAGAGAAAAAAGTTAGCAATTTATCTCTCTCTCTTCCATCACATATTCATTTTCATACTTACCATGAATGTATGTTTCAGCAGCACACACTTCCACCAAAGTTCCCGATAGATCAGTAGGAAGACAGTGATACTTGAATTTCGATGAATTTGTACAAGTCTGCTCTTCTGCAAGCCTATAACAAGCTTTTGTTTGTGCTCTTGTTTTGGTATTTTCTTCGCTTTTTGGACATTGTCTAACAATTGTTTCTGTCCTGGCAGACAAAGGACAGCGCTGAGCAGCCGAAATAGTAAGCTACAAAATTTCAACGATATTATTTGTGAAATAGATCGAAATCTAAACTTGATGAACTATCTCTAAGATAACGTTTAATAATCAAGCAGTCAATGTAACGAAAATTCTTATAAAGTGATACTTACATTAATGATAAGCAGGCATATTTGAACAATACATCCCGATCCCATGTCACAGTTTGAATATCACTGCATCTGGAAAAATTAATAACAGTCACAATTGCTTGAAATAAAGTCTACAAGCATACTTTTGAAATGCATTTACCCCACGAAAAATGTGGATATCTCGAGAGATTTTTTACTGTATTTGTATGTTAAACAAACCTAGATCTTTGGTTGCATTGTTCGTACATGCAAGATGTAGACCTCTAAAGACTGACCTAAATATAATATAATTTCAGAAAATTGATTTCAGGAAGTTGCAAGCGAAAAAAAAAATATGTTGATGTGACTAAAATATAAGATATTCAAATTGTCGGAGATGTTTGGATTATATTAATTAGCTATAGGTATATCTTTTAAAAATGAAAATAAGTAACATTAATTGTGGTAATTGTTTAGTAAACCAACAGTTTCCATTTTAATGTTGGGAAAGTTTCTGTGAAGAGGCTTCGTACATTTTTTTACCAACCATCCGCTATCTATGCATGTAAGTATTTTCTTAAGTGATTAGAATCCAGAACAAGAGGCCCGTGGACTTGAACCTACACTAACTAAGGATGCTTGCATATTTCTTTGACTAACTGTGGCTTTTTTGTCCTTTACATTTGAACAAACATTGTGTGGTCCCGCCCTACCCCCAGGGATCATGACTTAAACAAACTTGAATCTACACTTTGAGAATGCTTCCATATGAATATGATTTGTCATGACTTTACCATTCTTGAAAAGATTTTTTTTTTAAATTCTATATATTTCTACGTAAAACTTAGATTCTTTGTTGTGGCTCCGCCCCTACCCCTAGGGGTCATGATTTGGACAAACTTGAATCTACACTACCTAAGGTCATCATGTTTCCATATAAATATGACCATTCATGCCTTTGTTATTATTAAGAATATATTTAAAGATTTTTCTATATGTTCTATGAAAAACTTTGATCTGCCATTGTGGTCCTACCCTACCCCTGTGGGTCATGTTTTGAACAAATCTTAATCTTCGCTACCTGGAGAGGCTTCCACTTAATGTCTATTTTTCTTGAAAAAAAAAAACATTTTGAAAGAATTTCCCTATAAATTTCTAGGTAAAACTCTGATCAGCCATTGTGTTCCTACCCTATCTCCCGGGGTCATAATTTTCACAAACCGGAATCTATAACACCTGAGGATGCTTCCATATAAATATGATCATTCATGCCTTTGTTATTCTTGAGAAGACGATTTTTAAAGACGTTCCAAATATATTTCTATGTAAAATTTTAAAAAGTCATTTTGGCCCTATACAGTACCCGCATCGTTATTCTTTACAGGATACACGATACGATAGGATACACGCACGATACGATAGGATACACGCACGATACGATAGGATACACGCACGACAGGACAGGATACACGCACGATAGGATAAACGGAAAACACGATAAACGCAAAACACGATAAACGCAAAACACGATAGACCTGATAAACGGTTTTCACGATAGGATACACGCAAAACACGATAGGATTGTTATAAAATACAGAACGTTTTATGACGAAACGAATAATTTCCATTTAACATAATTTAGTTTAATTTTCGACTAATATAGATCTAAATATAAACTATTTACGTACAATTAATCAGTTTTTAATTCCTGGTAAATAATCGTATCATTAATTATGTTTCCAGATTGCCCGTCCTAACTCTAAATTACAGATAGTGTAATTACCGACGTCGGTTTGTTTTAAAAAAATAAATAGATTAATTTATAAATGCTTTGAAAATAGCGTTACAAACACAAGACATTTTGGAAAGAAAAGGCAGCAGACACTTTTAAAGCAGTCAATACAGAAGAACACGTAAGTTGATTTCACGATTTATATATAAATATTTTTTTTTTACACATTTTTTTTTTACTTGGTTTTCAATATATCAATTATAATAAGTTGTATTCAAATGTATTGAATATGAACCAGGGACGTAGCATCCGGGGGGGGCCCACTTTTTTCCCCAACATGACATGTACTACAGTAAATGTTCATTCATAGGATGGTTGGCCCCCCCACTTTATAACCATAATGATAGTATAGTGATAGGAAGGATTTTAAGGAAAAAGTTAGAAGTGATATTAAATTGGCTTTGAAAAAGGTGGCCACCCCCCCCCCCCCCCCCCCCCCCCCCACGAAATAGGATTTTCGACCTTGGGCACCTTTTCCCTTTTTTTTTTTTTTTTTTTTTTGCTTGTCAACTTTTTCAGGTAATCAAAAAAATTTTTCTCCGGCTGGCCCCCCCCCCACTTTCAAAAACGATGCTACGTGCCTGTGAACTTTATCTGTTTCTAATGGTATTACATGTAGAAATTGTTTTCCCAAAAGATACTTAATAATCAATAAAATTAAGATTTTTACGGAACTGAATTTTATTAAAATCCCAGACTAAGATGAGAGGGCCCGGGTAGCCCTGAAATGATTAAGTACCCCTGGCGATAACCACTACGTGAAAGGGTAAAAGGGGGCAGTATGTAGATGGTAAATACACAGGTGGAAGTGGCAGGTAGACAGGTAGACGGTGTACTGGTAGGAAACATTGGTGTCACCCTTCTTCAGTATGGCTTCCTGTGTTCGTATGGTACACAACTACTCTATAAGTAGAGGCGTTGTCAACTGTCTTACTTATTATAAAGAGTTCCTTTCTCGGCTTGACAAGTAAGTTTATCATGTTCATATATCTATTAGTATACATAGCGTGTTATTTTAAAAGTAAATTTTCAATCTAAACTAGGAACCAAATAAAGGTAAAAAAAAAAAATTCGACATCATTTGAATTTAATTTGGTCTAAAAGGTATGAAGCACAATAACTCATTCAGCATTTGGATAATTTTAAATTACTTAAGAAAATTTAAGTACTACATTGTCGTAGTGAAATCATAAACACCACCCAAACACCCCCCCCCCCCCTTCTCAACAAAGAAGAAGAAAAACCGACAGATTTGAACAATTAAAAAATCAATATAAATATCGTGAAGCCTTAAAAAGAGGACAAAATTTCTTATGTGTTATCATGGTGAATTAGTTTATCAATGTATATTTCAAAAATAAAACTACATGTACAAGTGGATCGAATATTTTCATGTCCAAATTCCCATTTTTTTAAAACTTAGTTTCACTTTCGGTTTACGCTACTTGTGCTTCTTTACTTGCATGACCATGAAGAGTGACAGGTTTGTCGGTTTATCAGTATTCGTTTATGTTTTTTCATTGAAAATGTTCTATTTTCAAAGTACAAAGACGTCAGTACATGTTTCTAGTTATATGAAGAGTATTCTAACTGTGTCTCGGGACAAGTCAATACCACAAGCCGGGTCGTAGGACTAGTGTAGGAGCGTTTTTTTCCCTACATGAATGTGTAATTACTGGGTACTACTAAACAGAGTACGCTAGAGTACGATAGAGTACTTTAGAGTACGCTAGAAAAATTATGTTATTTAATGCAATTAAATTGTTTATTTATGTATGCACAACTTGAAAACATTATTATAGACTTATATTGCAATATTTGTTTCAAATATTTGTTTTAGTGATATTTTGACAAGAAAACAACATCCATAATTGAACGCATCTTAAAAAGATTACAATACCCCAATTTCGATTACTATTTTGTTTCAGACTTACTTACTAAAGATTTACATCCAAATTTTATCAAATATTAAATCAATTGCATGTGTGAATATTTTACAAATTCACAATGAGACATTTCAACACGTTCAAGTTAAATTAGATCGCGATCAAACGATAAACCGTAAACTGAAATCAAAAATTGAAATAACTCCTGAAATAAAGAAAACATACAAATTTTATTTAAAATATATATTCAATATGTTAAAATAAAGTAGAAAAGTAGGCACAGAATCAATATTCAGATCCGGGGCGGAGGTGCGCATGCTCGACATGTAGACGTAAGTTTTTATCGAGAGCAAAGTGTAGTCCAAAAACCTCGAATTTAATTAATTTCAGATCTTGAAAAATGCATTGCTGATATTCAAAGATGTTTTAAAGTGTGTTGAAGTGTGTTTTAACCAAAAAAAATGCAATAGAAGCGAGGAACGAGAAGGTAAACAAAATCTGTAAACATATCTGTTTGTGAACACTAGTGAGCGATACTCATACGTTCCACTGTTACATTGTGAAATATGGCTAGTCAATTGACCCAGTCTAAAAAGAGAGCGCTCGATGATATGGACACTAACACCATTAACACCAGTACTAGTGATGAAGAAATTTCAAAGGAATGTGAAAATTTTCAGATGAGAGATGTCATGCACGGTATAACTAATATACAAAATACTCTTGCAAACCTTCTACTAAGGATTGATGGACAAGGTCGCCATCTAGACGAAGTTACCAAGGACATTAGAGGAAAACATGGCATTCAGGAGAGATTAGAAAACGTACAAGAACAGGCGAACGATACGATATATATAACCACTGAACTGCAGGAAAAACAGAAGAAGATGGAAAGAGAACTTAGCCGAATGAAAGATTACATAGTTCGACTGGAGTATTGTGTAAAGATTCAAAGTGAACAGATTCTAGAGCTAAGATCTAGAGCAATTGAAGACAATATCATTGTGAGTGGAGTAGACGAAAAGGCGCCCGAAATAAAAAATCCTGAAAACCTTGTGAAGATCATTAGTAATGTGTTTGCAGTAGAGATGGAGATACCGGCAGAGACTGTTGATAGCCTACAGATATATAAAGTGTTCCGAATGGGGGAATATACGACAAACATAGGAAATATCCTCGGCCAGTCTGTGTCCAGTTTGTAAATAAATCACATAAGGACATTGTGATGAGACACATTAAAATTCTCAAGGATAAGAAGTCCCCAATAAGAGTGTCTCAACACCAACCTGAAGAAGTCCGTGAAAAGAGGAAGCATTGATATGATGAAATATGCGGACCGTAACATAGAAACGGTGCTAAAAGGTCAGAAGCTCATTTTCACGCAGAGCAAGACGGTGTACAGGGAAAAAATTGGTAGCAGACCAATGGCCGAT